TGATTTAAGCCGATTTCATTTAAAATAGAATTACTAGTATAAGAAGATGTTTCTTGTATACGATTATTTGGAATGATAGCTGAACCACGTTCTACAGACTGCAGTACATACTGTTTGCGGTATATTTTGTTCAATAAAAACTTATCCACATAACCTTCCTAACAATCGCCAACTCGCATACTGGTTTGTGGTTCTCCTGTCGTCAGACTGCAGTGGCTGTTGCCGTCTGTAGGCAACAGCAACAACTCTCTGCAGTGCATAATGAATTAAGACGAATGTGTTTGATAGACATATGTGCGCGAATAATATTCTCGCAAGTTTGTGGAATTGTCATCATTACTAAAGTCCATAACGTGCAGAAATGCATACATTCCTCAGTAGCCGTATAGAAAATAGTATTCTCGTAGACTGAATGAGTGATTCAATGAAATAAAAGTGGACAACGTTAGGAGCAGCCATCACAAGAATAATGAATAATGAAAGCAACCAAAAGGACGGTGACACTCTACTCCAAGGATCACTCAATTTTTTGAACTGATAGAATAAAGAACGCTTAAAAATGGTGCAGGTTTCATTTCGTTGAACTGTTTCATTTTCTACAACTGCAAAATGAATGCGAGACGCGTTGTATTTGTTACCTGCCGACAGCCGCACGCCACCGCCGATGGGATCGCCCGCCCACACCCCCGCTCCCGCCGCCACCGCCCCGCCAGCAGCAGCCACACACCGCTCCACGACCCGCCAGCGCCTTGAGCGCTGACAGCCGGGCGGCGCGGGCGCCACCACCGACATGTAGCGAAGTGGAAGACGGGCGCGTAGTCAATGGGCTGTTCCGTGGCGTCCACGAAGGCCGTAATGACGTGAGGTCACTCTGCCATCCGCCACGTCTGGCAGAATCGTGCAGGTTTTGTTGTAAAAGGTGCATCCGCTTGGTGGCCACTACATCCGGGATGCACCCTGTTAGCTGCATGTAAATTTTGTTTTTCAGGTACATCAGACCAGTAAGCCTAACGTCAGTGATTTGCAAACAAATGGAACATCTGTAGCTGAGTTCTTGCGTCGGGAATGGGACAAACTAGGGTGGTTTATACGAAAGGCAACACGGATTTCGAAAATCCTTCTCGTGTGAAAGCCAAATTATTACAACGTGTCAAAATATTGCTGAAACTTTAGATTCCGGTAAGAGAACGGAGCCAATTCTTATAGATTTTTCAAAAGCATTCGATTTTGTTCCGCACGATATACTGTAACACCTCCACTCATCTCCCGACGAAGGGAAATGCGCGGTTAGCGGCCCGGTTATAGCTCAGTCGGTCCTATTCCCTTTACTCGTTTAAAAACTAGCCAATTTAACAATTTCCTTAACTTAAGATTCCAGTGATGGAAGGCATTGTTAACGAAATTACTGGATATTCAAAATAAAACAGTTTGATCACTGGTAACAAGACAAGTTTTATTTCCTGACAAACTGTACCAGGGAAGTTACATTAATAAAATTAAAAGAAGAAAAAGATTGAATAAAAGAAAAGAAACAGAGAAAAATTAAAGGAAAGCTTACAACTAGAGAAGAGTACAAAATTATTTTATAGCTAGATTTACAGCGTTGTCCCTGAGGACCTTTCTTGTGCATTTGCGCGGCACCGCTTTGACAATACTTCAAAAAGGTTTATTGCCCCCAGTTACATTGCCTGAGCGCCCTTTCGTGGCAAATGTGCTGTCGAGGAGGCCTGGGGGGCGCGGTAGGGCCTTCGCATGAATTCGTTCGGGGCGCACGCCCTCACCAACGGCGGCTGCGGCGGTCAGTGGCGTCTGGCGGCCGTCCCGTGACGTTTAGCAGATGTATCGTCTGGAGGCTGCTTCGGTGGAACTGAAGATAACCGGGTATATCACCCCCGATCGCAGGTGCGGAGCACACAACAATGTCTCCCTCTGAACTATGCGAGTCCTCTTATACAAATGAGAAGTTGCGAATCCTGTAGCGAATACGCAATTACAAGGATTCGCCCAATTTACTTTTGAAGTGCTTTTGCACTTCCTCTAAAATTCTCACTGAGAATTCCGGTCTATCACCCAGTGATTTCAACTAAGTGCTTTCAGAGGTGTACTCGCCTCTCCCCGAGCTTGGCTCCCACCCCAGAGAAGTCTCTCCACCAACTGTAATTTAACAAAGTGCTTCAGAGGCGCACTCGCCTCTCCCCGCGACTGGCTCCCACCCCAGAGAAGTATCTCTCTCAACTCAAATTTGTTTTCTTCATAAATGCACGAAGTTAACTTTTTTCCCACCCTTTCGCCTCATATGTCTTGCGCCTACAACGATTGCGTCGCTATTGGCTAAAGGTGAATGGCTTGTACACTAATTTGGCCAATAGGCTCTGGCGGAGTATAGGAATTTTCCATTCTCTGTTTCGAAAGTAGTTCACGTCTCTGAAGGGGCATCCCGGCTACTGAATTATTGCTTCGGGTTTCCCCGATCACGATGACAGGCGTTTTCGGAGTATTCCAGATGTGGGCCCCTTACAAGTTACCCTGTCTTCGCCGTTGGGTGGGGTGTCATAAACATTCGAAATGGTTAGGGGATCGTGCTGTTGCAAGAAGGGGGGCTGCCGCGCGAATTAAGTTTCCAGGACAGAAATCAAGTTTTTTAAAATATTTTATTACAAATAAGTCGTACAGCAGTTGTATACTCGTTGAAATATGAATTAAAGTTGATTCTGACATCGAGGAGCGTGAGCAGCGTCTGATGGAAACAATGCTGGTGAGAGCTACTTGGCTCCCGTTTATATACAAGTTCCATGTTGTTCACTAGAAGATCAAACAAGATTTCTCTTCGTATCGTTCTATAAACACATCCTGGTATGCATTGATTACCGTTAGCCAAGAGGGATGTAACTCGCGTGACGCCGTATGTTTTTCTTCAGTAAAAAAATTCTTAGGTCTCCTTACTCAATTTAATTATCATAATAATTCTGTACCGCTACAATACTACTTACGAAAATAGCATCTACGGAGTTGACCATCGCGTAATAGCATGGATACGGAATTCCTGATAAATCGGGTTCAACAAGTCGAGTTGGACTGAAACATTCAGAGGAAACCCTAATTACGTCCGGCGTCCCCCAGGGAGTGTCTTAGGACGCTGTTGTTTGTGGCATTCATCAACGATCTGCCATCTTGTATATAAGTCAGTAAATGCGTTTATTTGCGGACGACTGCATAATTTATCGGCGAATATATTCGGATGAAGATATTCTCGCACTTCAAAACGATCTTAATAACATTCATTCCGGGCTACCATTAATAAAAATGAGATAAATGCCGTAAAAAGTAAATCACTAAGCGTTCGAAATCAGCAAAGGTTTCTTTAGAATACCAAATGGGACGCGTATTCAATCCACAAGTATTCCTGTTGTAAGTATCTGGGTGCTCATATTACGCCAAGACTTGGATGGGGGTAACACGTTACTTCCATTTCCCGAAAAGCGTGGAAGTCACTACACTTTGTAATGAGAACACTTAAAAAGGGAAACATGGAGAGTCGAAAAATAGGATACACATCTTTTTAGGCCGATTCTTGAATACGCACCAGCTGGATGGGACTCATACAGATTAGGTCAGATTGAAGAGTTAGAAAAAAATTCGAAAGAAAGCAATCAATTCATAAATAAGGATCTTCGAGTAGTTCAAATCCACCAAAACCTATAGAGCCCTCAGTGTGCGAAAAAAAAAAGCCAGATTGTGCTGCCTCTTCAAGGCGTACAGTAAGTCACCTGCATGGGCAGAAATAACGAAAGGACTAGACTCCCCTTGAAGAGTTGGGAGAAACGATCACAAATGCAAAATAAAAAGTAGATGTCAGAGATCCGACGTAGGGAAATATTCATTTGTTAATCGTACGGTTACAAATTGCAATAAAATCCCTGCAGCGGGCGTAGAGCCTTTTCCTGGCTCAGTTTGGTGTTTTTAGAAGACGACTTAATAAGTACTTGTAAAGGAAGATTTTACCGCACAATTCAGAATACACAATTTTGTAAATTATTATAGATAAAGTGAAGTGGAATAGAGTGGAGTGCAGTGCAGTGCAGTGGAAAGAAACTTTAATTAGTTATATGGCATAAGGAAGATGGAGTGGAGTGGGAGTGAGTGGGTGGAGTGGAGTGGAAGTGGAGTGGAGTGGAGTGGAGTGGAGTGGAGTGGAGTGGAGTTTGGAGTGGAGTGGAGTGGAGTGGAGTGGAGTGGAGGTGGAGTGAGTGGAGTGGAGTGGAGTGGAGTGGTGGAGTGGGTGGAGTGTGAGTGGAGTGGAGTGGAGTGAGTGGAGTGAAGTGGAGTGGAGTGGAGTGGAGTGGAGTGGAGTGGGTGGAGTTGGAGTGGAGTGGAGTGAGTGGAGTGGAGTGAGTGGAGTGGAGTGGAGTGGAGTGGAGTGGAGTGGAGTTGAGGGGAGGGGAGTGAGTGGAGTTGGGTGGAGTGGAGTGGAGTGGAGTGAGTGGAGTGGAGTGGAGGGAGTGGAGTGGAGTGGATGAGTGGAGCGGAGTGGAGTGGAGTGGAGTGGGTGGAGTGGAGTGGAGTGGAGAAGGAAATGGGAGTGGGTGAGTGGAGTGGAGTGGAGTGGAGTGGAGTGGAGTGGAGTGGAGTGGAGTGGAGTGAGTGGGTTGGAGAGTGGAGTGAGTGGAGTGGAGTGGAGTGGAGTGGAGTGGAGTGGAGTGGGTGGAGTGGAGTGGAGTGGAGTGGAGTGGAGTGGAGGAGTGATGGAGTGGAGTGGAGTGGATGGAGTGGAGTGGAGTGGAGTGGAGTGGAGTGGAGTGGAGTGGAGTGGAGTGGGAGTGGAGTGGAGTGGAGTGGAGTGGAGTGGAGTGGAGGAGTGGAGTGGAGTGGAGTGGAGTGGAGTGGAGTGAGTGGAGTGGAGTGGAGTGGATGGAGTGGAGTGGAGTGGAGTGGAGTGGAGTGGAGTGGAGTGGAGTGAGTGGAGTGGAGTGGAGTGGAGTGAGTGGAGTGGAGTGGAGTGGATGGAGTGGAGTGGAGGGATGGAGTGGGTGGAGTGGAGTGAGGAGTGGAGTGGAGTGGAGTGGAGTGGAGTGGAGTGGAGTGGAGTAGGAGTGGAGTGGAGTGGAGTGGAGTGGAGTGGAGTGGAGGAGTGGAGTGGAGTGGAGTGGAGTGGTGGAGTGGGGAGTGGAGTGGAGTGGAGTGGAGTGAGGAGTGAGGAGTGGAGTGGAGTGGAGTGGAGTGGAGTGGAAGTGGAGTTGGAGTGGAGTGGAGTGATCGGAGTGGAGTTGTGAGTGGAGTGGAGTGGAGTGGAGTTGGAGGTGGAGTGAGTGGGTGGAGTGGAGTGGATGGAGTGGAGTGGAGTGAGTGGGTGGAGTGGAGTGGAGTGGAGTGGATGGAGTGGAGTGGAGTGGGAGTTGGAGTGGAGTGAGTGGAGTGGAGTGGAGTGGAGTAGAGTGGAGTGGAGTGAGTGGAGTGGAGTGGAGTGAGTGGAGTAGTGAGTGGAGTGAGTGGAGTGGAGTGGAGTGGAGTGGAGTGGAGTGGAGTGGAGTGGAGTGGAGTGGATGGAGTGGAGTGTGGAGGGAGTGGAGTGGAGTGGTGAGTGAGTGGAGTGGAGTGGAGTGGAGTGGAGTGGATGGAGTGGAGTGGAGTGGAGTGGAGTGGAGCTGGAGTGGAGTGGAGTGGAGTGGAGTTGGAGTGGAGTGGATGGAGGGAGTGGAGTGCGACAGTAGCTGGGGAGCAAATCTAAATGCTTAAAGAGCTAACTTTATAAATCCCAGTGTGTTTATATTTTAAAAAAACAAATTGTGTAACTGGTTAATTTTATGTATATGTATATACGTGCATGTATAATATGTAGGCAAGTGTGTGTGTTCGTGTTGTGTGAACGTGAGGAGTAGCATTCATGTATTGGAATGTGTATGTATGTATGTGTAAGTGTGTATATGGGTGTATATATTGTAATGCCGATCACTCCGTCGGGATATGTCGGGTGCCAGGTTCAGTTCCTGTAACGAATGGATGGAAGTGAAGGGGAGGTCAAAAATCAGTCCATTGACTCGTTTCTTGACAAAATTCAATTTATTCCTGGCTCCATGAGCTGCCAGGAAGTTACAGGTCACTAGTGAGGCGACACATTTACTTGCTAAACTTACGTTACGAGCTCATAACTTCACAGTTAATGAACAAATTCTTAACACTAACATTAATAACTTATTTCTAACAATTCACGCATATTTTTAACTACAATACACAAGGCCTGAGCGCGGGCCACTTCTTAGTCTCTCGCCAAAAATGTCCTGCAAGTAGAGCCCGCGTCATAATTACGGGAGTTTTGACTTTGGTTAAATACCGGATTGTTCACCACTGGCTGGCGGGTGGCTCCGCAGACCGGCCGGATGGCGGTCCTCACTCGAAGACGGCGGGCGGCCTCAGGTCACCGACCTCCCACTGGTGTTCCTGCTCGGCTGGCAGCGGTGTCGTGGCGACGAGTCGTCAAATCGTGCGGACTCAGTCAGTGAGGACACACAGGTACTGGCCGTAGTTTAGTGCGGGCTTGAATGGGCCCGATATGGCACTAGGCAGCGTATGCAGATCATCTTACGCGAAAGTTACGCAGGAATCTTGCCATCATCTTGAAATTTTCCAGGGAGATCTCTCTTCCTACCTCGGGCCTCTCTCTCTCTCTCTCTCTCTCTTCTCTCTCTCTCTCTCTCTCTCTCTCTCTCTCTCTCTCTTTCTCTCTTTCTCTCTCTCCTCTGTGAGCGATTCCAGAAGCTTCTCTCGCAGCTGTCCGAACACTGTTCGAGCCGGTTGCGTTTTTTCTGGCCATAAATTTGTCAGTGGAGGCTGATCGCAGCCCAGCGACTGTTGAGTTGTAAATAACCCCTTTGGGAATTTGGATTCCTGGCGCGGGCGCGTGGCAAAGGAGGCGCAGGCGCGTATTGTTGGTCTTGAGTGCCCGGTGGCTCCGGGAAGGAAGGCACGGGGCGTATATGACGGGTCATAAATGTTTCCGCCAACTAAGAGGTCCTCATCAGCGGTCGGTGGGGCAGCTTTCAATGGTGTCCGCGGCCTGGCGGTCGTTAGGGCCCTTCGCAACAAAAGCCCCGCTCTCGCGACCTACTTAACTGTGATGGGAGCTATTTCGATATGAAATTATATAATATTTTTGGTGACGCCACAATATGAGCCATAGATGTATACAGTCTGTGTATGTTTATATAATTGAGTGTATATGCTCAAAGAGTGATTGTAAATTGTTTTATATTGTAAATTGTTTTTGAATTTATAAATGTTCATATATTGTACAACTTTAGGGTTATGGTACACCTGGTAATCAGCCATTGTAGCAAAATATATTATATTATAATATATCTAACCTGTCCCGTTTTCAAAAATAATATTATAAACTACTTAACTACATATAGTCAAATATAATACACAAAATAACTATATTACCTCTTCCACAAAGAATTAACCAAACATGAGGTTATGCTTTTGAAGCACTTCATATTTTGGTGTGGTATTATTCTTCTGGTTGAATTGGTGTTTGGAAAGAAAATTTTGCATTTCTTATTCTGGAAATTGTTACTGAAGGCCAGTGAGAAATCATTGCTAGACGTAGTTCTACAGGATAATTGATATATTCTCTGGAAAATAGGGAATTATTAACAATGTAAAGTGCAAAAGTGTAGTATATGAAATGACAGTCTTAGGATCGGACTCTAAAGTAATTATGGTTTACAACCAATAGGAATGTTAGGAAAATAGTCGATTATTAAATTAAAAATTTGATTAATTGAATGCGTTATTTCTTCCCAATTAGTATATTATAATTACGTTACATGTATATTAGATGTTTTTTTCTTTATACTAAGCACATGAAACTGCAAATCTTCGACAGAAAAAATCATTATTGTCCGCGGCGGAACAAGGTTACAAAATTGAAAAAATACAGAAAATGTCGAGGCATCATGCAAAATTCCCCCATACAAAATATGCGAATCAGACTCACAACCATTGAGTCATTTAGATCGATCAAGCATAATAAATTCTGTTGAAAATCGTGAAAATGTTTTAGGCGCTAGCGTTGACCATAGACATTCTGGTCAAACGCACAGACAAACAGACTTTTTGACTTCAATCGATTTTATCGAGTATCAGTTTACAAACAATCCTCTTGGAGAGTTGCTTTGGTCGCGATGGGATATGATACAATGCCAGGGCTTATGATACTACTAGCCCGATGTAGCAAACCAGTCCCCGTGTCCATTTTTATAACATTGGACTAGTCACTTATATGCAGATTTACAAGGCGAATGAGGAAATGTTTCGAGATTCAGGGTTCTTCATCCTTCTAGTGTATATTTTACAAACTTTCCATCGAACACCAGGTTACTGTTGGAGTGTCGAGCCACAAGATTACTGGCACAACACCTTTGCCTGTTTTCACAAATTATGGATTTTGAGTGTCCTATAGCTGTACTAGGCCTACAATAATCCTAGCTCTTGCCTGTTGGAAAATTCTTTTTTATAATTTACTTTCATTTGCCTCTTGGAATGCGTAGAGCTCAAAGTTACTGGCTCAAAATACCTTCGGCTTTTTTTTTCAAAAATTATGAATTTTGTGGGACCTCTAGCTGTTTTATGCCTACAAACATATCCTGATACTTCCATGCTTGAAAGCGTCGCGCCACAAGGTTACTGGCACACAACACCAGCGCCTGTTACACAAATTATGGATTTTGTGAGTTCTATATTTGATTTAGGCAAACAAGATATCTATCACTTGCCTGTTGAAAGCGTTGTGCACAAGGTACTGGCACACAACACTTCGCCTGTTTACACAAATTATGGATTTTGTGAGTTCTATATTGATTTAGGCAAACAAGAGATTCCTATCACTTGCCTGATGGAAAGCCTCGTGCACAAGGTTACTGCACACAACACCTTTGCCTGATTTCGCAAATTATGGATTTTGTGCGCCGTAAGCTACAAGACCCTAGCGCTGAGAGAGCACTTGCCTGTTGGAAAGCGTCGAGCACAAGGTTACTGACGCACAATCCCTTTGCCTGATTTTCCAATTTATGGATTTGTGAGCCGTGCAGCTACAAGAGACCCTAGACCCGCTGAGAAAGCACCTGCCTTTTGGAAAACGTGGGACAAGGTTACTGGCCACACAACCCCTTTGCCTGATTTTCCAATTTATGGATTTTGTGAGCCGTGCAGCTACAAGAGACCCTAGCTCTGGAAGAGCACTTGCCTGTTGGAAGGCGTCGAGCACAAGGTTACTGGCACACAACTCCTTTGCCTGTTTTCGCAAATTATGTAGTTTGCGAGCCGTGAAGCTACAAGAGACCCTCGCTCTGAGAGAGCACTTGCCTGTTGGAAGGCGTCGAGTACAAGGCCGTCCCTCCGCTTGAAGCGCTGCCACGGAGAAGACGTGTTGACGGGCACCGCCAAGAAGGAGTCGAACATGCCGATGGCGAGACGTCGTCCGCGGGGGTGCAACTGCTTGGTCTGCGTGGGGGGCGAGGAGGGGGGCGGACGCGGCCACGGGTCGACGATGGGCGGCCGCAGCGCCCCCAGGCACGCCCCTGCGCCCGCCACCGCCCACACCGCCCACGCCGCCCACGCCGCTCGCCCGCACACCATGTCAACGCCTCTGCTACGCTCTGGCTGGAAAGCACCCAACTTCACTATACTTGGGGTTTTCTTTTTTCTCTTAAAAACAGGTCGTCGTAATTTGGCCTACTGTCTGCGGTTCTAAATTCCATTTATAATATTAAGAAAGCACTTTGGGGAATATTCAATATATTATAATTTTAGGTAAGAATTCAGGGCTGTATGAAGTCAACACCGGCACTCAATTTTTTTCCGCGTCCCGACAGCCAGCGCTTGGCTCAGGAGCCATTGCATTAACGATGGCAGCAGTTCGTACAAGAAGTTCGTGTGTAGAGCACACCCGATGGTAAACTTGGGTTTTTAATTCTTGGCGCGCGAGTCCTCGGCTTCACAATGAAATATCTCCCCGTATTTCGTGTCTTTCCCAATCGTGCAGCTAAATGTCGCATGATCGCGACCATATCGAGCAGTGCTGATATGCTATCAGCCAATCGCTTGGAATAACAAAGTAATTCGATATAAACCATACTTTTTAAGCAATATCTTTTTTCGACTTATTGTAGTTCTCCTCCATGCATTAATAATTTTTAATTACTTTAATTGAGAATTTTTATTTTAATATCATCCTGCTTCCCTTTTTACACCACAGCCATATATTACATTTATTACATATTACACAAGGGTTTATTGTAATACATTTCACAGGAGGAAACACTTGTATATTTTATAAATAGTTTTTGTTGTTTGTATATCACTAAACAGTTTTATAATTTTAATGATATAAACAAATTAAAAATTATTTATTAGTACCAATAAAATGTTCTTAGGGGAAATCTTTTTTGTATAAGTGAAATAAATTTATTATCTTTAACTCGAATTCCACCTGCTTCATTTTACTTAACGGCAATACTTTATTCACACCGCAATGTTTCCCTCTAAACGCAGGAAAATTGCACGCGCTATAATCGCGCCATACCCCCCTCCTCACGCTTCCAGCGCCTCCAGGATTCGACCCACGCAAGTGTTATTTCGT